AAACCATTGGGTCACTCCAGGTGGAAGGACGTCTCAATGGTGTGATCGAGCGATCATCGATGCCGTCGGAGCGCGCTCGACTCAGCGAACAAGAGGCTTTGGAATTCACCATCCCCGGCCTCACTAAGGCTTGCCGACCAAGACACAAGGACAAAATTGGCTTTTGTTGACTCCTGGTGCGAAGTTCCCCGCGTCGTCATGGCTTGCGACCGTGACATTCGGTGTGGGAGCTATCTCATCATGAGTTCCTCCCCTCTGTTTGGGACTTCGGAAACGAAAGAGAATTTGATCATCGCCGCTCACCTGAGAGACCAAGGATTCTCTCCAACAACGCACGCTGATAGGTTGGCATGTCGTATTCCGCATTCGTCTGGAATATCGATGCAGATATGGCGGCTCTGTCTGAGGTGACAGTAATGATGGCAGAAGCAGTCTTAGAACTCATGGCAGGTTATGAGGGGACCGATTCAACTTTGGGAGTGGGCTCGGCGATGTCGCCAGCCATGAATGAGGCTCATTCTTGGGCCGTATCTCCCGTCACGGGGAGAATCCAAGCACTGAGAAAGCAATCGCAACCCATCGACTCGATTGGATCAATGGATCACCTCATTGAACCTCGCGTTAGATTCCGGCGGAAACTCTCGGATCGGAGCGAACCGTGTCGTGATTTGATTGATATATTTTGCTGAAAATCCATGGAGCTCTACTCGGTTCAAATTCAAAGTCTGCGAGGCCTCGTGTTCAACATCGACGGTGTTTGCCCCACAGTCGGTTCCACATTATCCTTCCTCTCTAGCATCATGTTCGATTTGATGTGTCTCGTTGTTGATCTCCGCATAGGTTCTCTTGACGCAGTGATATTTTACACTAGAAAGCCTCCATTATAATTCTGCTTCGATTTGTACTTATGATTCAAATACCACTTGCCCTAACCATAGAGTGTCTAGAGTGTGGACGTCAGTTGCGACAACGGGAGCACTCCAGACTTTATTCGGCTGTGGCCTGTGGTTCGGGAAGCATGCTCTGGTAAAACGCTTCCACGATAGCACGTCGATCAGTTGTTGCTCCTTGATTTGCTCTTGTAGGCGTTGTTCGTCGGTGTTCGTTGGTGTGCTACAGCGATAGCTCACAGAGATGGCGATATCGCCCCATAGAACATGGCTGTTGAAGCAGATCAGCTTCGCTTCTTTCTTCCGCGAGCTCGTGCGCGCGAACGGCACCGGCGCCGGCGTGTGAAGCTCAGATTCTCCGACAAGTTCATCGAGAAATGTCGTCGATTCGATCCCATTTAACGCTCAAAAATCAGGTTCGTCCATCAATGGATCCAGATAATTAGACGGCCAGGCAGTGAGCGTCTCTACTTTGACGAGGCGACAAGAACACAGCGAGCGCCGCGCCGCCACCTCTTCTTGTCTGCTGCTATGTTCGGGGTCGAGTTCGCTAGCGAGGCTCGAGCCTGAGGTGCCTCACTCGCGGGGGAGATGGATGAAATATTAAAGCGTCGCCCGTTTTTCTGTCGACGACGAATCTCGTATTCTTGAAAAAGGAGCGAAAACACGAAGGAACTCGGAGCACTGGAATGAGAGCTGGAGAATACAACGTTGTCAACACTGTTCGTGCTATCGCGTTTTTCTCCCTTGTGTCCGCGTCTTTCTAGATTGTGTCCAATAGAATCCATGGCTTCAGAATGAAATCTAGCGAAGGCGATCCGCAATCGCTGCCATCATGAAAAGAGCTTTCCTGGGAGCTTGATACACGTCCGCTTGTCCGGAACCTCGTCCAGTGCTCTCATAAAGTGCTAGACTTTGGACTCGTTCCATTCATGATCAACACCTCTTTCGAGATCGAGCACCAGGGGATCGGATTCGGCGTAGAAACCTGGCGGGGGTTTGTTTCTCGACTGATCCGATGATCGTTTACATCATCGTCGTCGTCGTCCTTTGTTGTAGTATTCGGAGTGGGGGACGGTTGTGCGAGTTTGAGGGCTGCGGAATAGTTCTATGACCGCCGCATCTGCGGGAAACTAAGTCGCTGAAATATTCAGGCGGAGAGCTTGCTTCGAGAATAGGTAACAGGGAGGTTCATAGATGGTCAGCCAAAAACATTTCCACTCTTCGCTATGCGTACTTCGCTAATTCAATGAGTGGCTTGTCAAAACTATAATAGTTTGAGGATTGAGGGCTTCTGTCGTCACGACTCACGGACCAGGTGAGATACCTGCTCATCCCAAGTCTTTGTCTTGAGTCTTTTCGGCTGAGGCTTTGCTGTGCTTCGGCTATTCGCATTCAGTATCCGATTCATCCTCTGTGCACCGCCCTTTCGTGGATTCGGAAGACCTCAAATCGAACTCGGCCCCATCTGCTCGACTCGGAAAGCGGTGTACATATTGAAATCTGCATCAGGCTTTTGTTCCGCCTCCATGTTTGGGTTGGAGATTCATCTGATGGAGCGCTGTCTCTAGGCTCCCTCCCTTTGGAATTCGACGGTGCGTCCCTATGACAGCCGACTCCAGTTATTTATAACCCGCCTTTCGAGACTAGTGACAAGCACCTCGTCTTGGATTCGCGATCTCGTGATAACGGAGTCATACTGAACTCGCGTTGACGAGCCGGCATCAGCGAATCTGCTGGCCCCGAGGGTGCTGGATTATGTCACTGCGAAGAAGAGCACATAGAATTAGATGCAGGGAACTTCTGTCTTCACACAATCCTCACCCGTTCGCTAGAGCTTGTTGTATAGAGCTTGATTCAATTATTCGTACGTTTCCTAGATACGAATTTCTAGATACGACACTCTCCCAGAATATCAAGGAGGATAACTGTAGTAATTTCAATCATATGGCTGCATCAGCTCGTTCGCCTCATCTGAATACAACAACACGAGAAGGAGAACGAGGTAAACAGGCGTAGAATAATTTGATGAAAACAGCTCATTCGACTCAATTCAAGTATCAACAGTTCCACTAAAAAAGTGCATTTGTTGTTGACGATCTTAATTGAGCACATTCGCTTTGTAAAGACGGCATAGTTTTCGGTCCGCCTATCCGTATTTCAATCGCATCGCGGACAAATGCCGCCCAGCGGTAGTAGCCCGCTTGCAAGCCCATCATCGGATCCGCTTGCCCGAAAGCAAATGGTCGTTCCCTACCCCTTTTTCCCCGTAGAAATCTCCGGCAATACAGGCCTCTTCGGTAGTCGTCGGGGAAAAAACATACTCCTCGTGCCTGTCGGGTGAATGTCTGTCCGTCTACCTGGATCGTCGTTTTCATCACGTCGATTGTCTGTCCGAATACTCTCAATGCACAAACATGATTCATCAATCGAAATCTTCTCCGCGATTCCCCAATCAAAGGAGTGCGTTTGCGCATTTTTCTACATGGGATAGTGCCAATGGCATCTCGATCTGTTCATATTTGAATGCATTCACTACCGGAGTGGCAGTCGGTGTAGGTTTGTGGGATTGATTCTCAAAAGGATATTCGCTCAAGTAACAGCTCTATCGCTAAATGTTCGCTCCGGCACAAGCGCAAAATGAAATCCTGGAGTCAAGCTACGACAGCGATGCTTTCTGAAGTTTGCTCTGGAGATTTTCCTCCCCAGCCTGATCTTCGGCAGGATATAAGGTTCCCTCGGAATTTCCAGGGCGGTCACTATCGTTGACGGCGACAGGGACGGCGATTGCCTCTGATGCTGCTAGCGGCGCCGTCGACATTCGTCAAACCGAGAATCAGGCATGGACGAGGCGTGAAAAATAGTCGTCGCCCCAAATGCTGAGGACGCTACGTCCTTGGCCCCGGGCTCAACACGGTCGACAACATTGTCGGGAGACTGATCCCGGGAACGTCTGTGCGGTGCCCTCGTTCAGCGGAGATTCAGCTCATCGCGGGAGTAGCCCTACCGGGCTGGATTAGAATTCCTCTTTCGTTCGTCTCCTCACAGCTATGTATGAGCAAGTTCGCAACCGAGCCGTTCACCCACCAGCGCTCATGAACAAACGAACGCAAACGACGATAACAACAGTCACGTCTTTGGCTCCTTCTTTTCGGGGCTCGTCGAAGCTTGGCCGAGGGGACAGCGTTTTCCTGAAACTGAGCGTGGTAAAGAGAAACGAACGATCGTCTAAGCGTGACACCGTGTGTAGCTGTGAGGAGCCTCGATGGCAGCGCGCCCCCGACCGGGGGTCGGGAACAGGCGGCAGTCGACCAGGGGCTGGTGCACGAAGCGAAGTATTTAACCGAATTGGTGAGCGATTGCAACAGTGGATGAATAAATTTGATAATCAATGAATAGCAGTGTGCTCTCTCTAGCTACAGGCTACCTACGGAACATCGCTTAGCTATCTTGAAATGCTACACTCTTTTTTCTTTGAACTATCCTCATATCATCGCGAATATGTTTCTACTCCAATATCTTTCATGCGTCATGAGTTTGGACACTTTAATGGCCGCGTTGTGGCCGCCTCCTCGACTCCCGATGAATCTAGCTTCCCGTTCATTCGCTCTCCGGTCGAGTATACGAGTCGAAGTTAGCATCTGAGAATCGACCAAGTATCAAGTAGACTTGAGTTTCGGTTCAACCTTCAGTGGACAACGTGATCAGGAAGACAAGGTATCGCCGCTCGACGACTGCTCCTCTGCGGAAGTCGTATCTCAACCTTTCCAACTTTTTCCGATCGAGTTCAGCGTCGGAAAACGTATCAATGTGCTCAAAATCATCCGTCGATGCTCCGGCAACAATTGACATCGGGAAGGTGGGCAACCAGACGCTCCTATGGGCTCTCGGTATAATATCTGGGGTTTGACCCACGCGACCTCGATTCGAATATCAGACTGTGGTCTGGATAAGCCTTTGTTGGCGGGAGATTCGATCAGTCATTTACTTAAGTGAGAAAAAGATATCCATCGAGGAGGCGTTCGTGGAAAGTCATTTTCATTTTGCTTCCGTCAGTTTGAAAGATATTTTGTTCTCAATATCTTCTGTTGATCCTTCTCATTCACATGTGCGCTTCACCATCGCTGGGTCTCACCGGGGAAAACTTCCGTCCCTCGACTGCTATTTAGTCGATAAGAAGATCAGCTTCCCAAGAAGTACTTCCAGCAATTTCTTGGAGTTTTTGCGACGTCGTCGTCGTCATGAAATTCCAATAACCAATCAGCATGGGAAGATGATTTGTCATCTGATCACTGTTTTTCATTCTGCTTGATCCGTCGGCTCCTCGCTGACCGACCGAGACGGAGGTTCAAAAGAGCAAGCGAATTATTTTGGAGTCTCGCAATCCCTTGGAATCCGATCGGGTAGGTGGGTCTTACTCAATGAACATCAATGGCACTGTTCCTCTGGCTCGACTCTCAGATGCGTTTTGGCAGCAGCGGAATGAAGGACAGTGATAAGGTAGTCCTAGCGATGGTAAAAGTAGTTGATGGTGGAATATTCGTCGAGCTGGACGATGGGGTTTTCGATTCAGAGACATCTAGGAGTAGATTGTAATCACTTCCCGACCGCCTCCTCTCACCATGAGAACTCGTTCGAGTCCTTCGGTGAGAACCTCGAGGAACTCCATATCTGCAAGAGGACAGAGAGAAGAAGGGTGAGTTCCTGTAGCAAGTCCGAGTCCGCGTTTCGCGGTCAACGTCTTGAACTCTATCGTCGTCACGAGCAACTCACAATTTTCTTCGCCGCGTTGGATCTTTGGAGGCCCGGGGAGATTGATAATGACCAATTGAGAGTCATGACTCTTGGCCACTATCACCTCATTGAGCTTCACAGCGGTGTGCATTCTGCGGACGTTGGCTTCGTCCCTGGAAAATAATTCTAGGCGTGGAAAAAGATGCAGCCGACAAGGAGTCAGAGCATTGCATTGACAGGTGAATCATCCTAGCCCATCGTAGTCGGAGAGAAGACTCACGGCTTGATTTTGAGCAGAGTGTCGAGGGCTTCGGGCGATTTTTCCGCCGGATTTTGCGGCGAGGACGGTGACGTGATCTGGGCTGGTGTCGATGGTTGAACAGGAGACGCTGCAGCCGGTGATTTGCTCGTGTCCTTGTTCGGGGTCGTTGATTCGGCAGCCGATTGGGAGTGAGCTGAGCTACGTCTCGAACCAGTTGCAGAATCACCGGCGCTGATTTGGAGCGACTGCAATCGATGGCCGGCGTTAGGGTTCCCCGTTAGCATAGGTCCTCGCTGCACTGCAGCTCTTCGTTTAACTATGGCCTTGCTCGGCTCCCGCTTCCCTTATTGGATTTGCACGAGTTCGCCATCTGTTAGCGTTCACCGAAAGATCGTTGCTTGTTAAAGTAAGTGGGTATCGTATTGCGATCGCAGGGAGGAGAGCCCGAAGGCGGACCTCGTCCAAGTGGGAACGCGTTTCGCAAGTTTGTAGAGCCGCTTGAGTTTGCAGAGCCTAGAACAGCATTCATAAAGCTGAGAGCATCTGCTCGAACTTGACTGGGTGAGCCGAAATGAGGTCGAGAATGCCCTCGTGAGACTCTCAGATCTCTCTAGGATCGGCTGAGCGATCGCTTTCCATCCAGGACACGATGGGGTCCGAGTCACTCGGCGCGATGGGGAAACATATCCATTATGGAGTCCAAGGGCGACAATCATGCTTCTCGGTGCAGTCTGGACCGGAATTGATTCTTGATTCTCCTTACGATGTCCGCTCCGAGTCATTATGAGAACAGTCGGTCAAAGACGGGGGAGGGCGAGCAGTGTTCAGGAATAAATCAATTCTAGCCATTGCCGGCTAATGAATTCACAGCGTTGGCGCGTGTGCACCGACTCCCCTTTCGGGTCGTCAGGATCTGCCCCTCGCCGGGCCGGCAGGGGTCGACAGCTTTCGGGGACAAGTCGGAATCGGGGCGAGCGAGCGAGGACTCTGGATATCTCGAGAATTCAGAGGTCGCCGAATCGAACATCCGTCTGAGCAGCCGAGTTCAGAAAACGGAGATTCATCGTAAGGTCTTCCATCCGTCCATCTCCTTCCCATCGTGGTCTTATTAAGAGACAGCGCGCCGAAACTTACTTGTACGTCGACGAGTTCGTGACTCTCGCCAGCTTCGTTGAAACGAACTTTGCTGGTGTGTCCTTGGCCTGCCTGATGGTGATTATCCATAATGGTTTGAACCTGCACAAGACGACGGGAGTGATCATTCATCAACGCCGAAACGTGAGCTCTCCCTCGCTCCGAGCACTTATTTACATATTATTGCATTCTGTGAATCATCAACGATCGCTGACAGATCAAATATAGCTCTAGAATACCGCGGAGCTTCCCGCTGTCTCAGTCGTCAAACAGAATCCGCCCGACCAGCCATGAAGAGAAGATCTCTCATTTCCGAAATCGGGCGTCCTCGGGACGATCTGATGATACGTCTTGCTTCCTCGCCGTGAGGTTTCAGTCCCTCCTCTGACCAAGCGTCAGAGGACATCGCTATCTGGGGCTGGGAATTCAGCGCGGTGGTGCCAAGAGCCGCGAATTTCTACGGTATCTTGGGGGATCCTCCATGGGAAGTCTACGAGAGGCGGGAGATGCCGCGAATTCCCAAAGAAAACTCCGTGAATAATTCTCAGCCTCAAAGATTGCTAATGGCGTTGGAGCTCCCGGGAAACAGCGCGTGATGAAGGCGAAGAAAAATACGTTTCAGCCTGCTCCCGAGGAGTCTTCCAAGGAAATCTTGTCGCAACTGGGGCAATAGCTTGCAATTGCAGACCGTCCTGTCCTATGCGGAAGCTTCTCCTCGCTTCTGGTGAGGCAGAGGGAATAAGTGACCCTTGGGGCAAGGGACGAATCAACCGTTTCCCGTTCCGTTCTCTCAGCGTATAATCAGTGAATACCCCTTGTCTTTTTCCAGTCTGTAACATAGGCGAAAACGGAAGAGAAAACAGAAGATGTACGGGCTCCTTCTCTTGAGGAAACTCACCACGCTCAGAGTTTCCCGTCTGTTGAGACGAAGATGTTTCAGCATCTCGCTTCGCTGTTCCATCATCAATGTTCGCTCATAGGTATAGGCTGAGATATCAGTCCCCGTCATTTCGACAACTTCAACCTCGGCGTCAATACGCAAATGGTACAAAAACGTGGCCAGGTCCTGTGAACAGAAGGTGAAATTTCTTATTCCTTCCCTCTGTCGTCTGAGCGGACTCTGCGCGAAAAATCTGTATATCCCCAACAAAGTGCACATCGATCGTCTCGATCGACGGATCAGATCCGCTGGTCCACTGACCTTCTTCATCTGGATAGAGTTGTCCTCGAGTTGGGCGACGGTGAAGATGCGGAGCTTGCAGTTTTTCCATACCTTGTGTTGTTTCAACAAGAACGGCAACAGCATCAACAAGCCACCATCGTCTGCATTTTGCTAAGTTAAGGGCGATTGTGCGCATAATCAGTTTCGAATTCACGGGCTAGCCGTTATTGTAGAATATCACTACCTAAGCCCGAATCTTTGTGAGAACAACCACGGTCCCGAATGGGGAAAAAAAATGAGATGAATCCGAACAGCGCTGATCCGTAGCGTAGGCCTAACAGAGCGAGAAAACAAAGATACTGTAAATGAGAGTGAGCGATTGAGGACTGCGCGGAAAATCAGCCGAGGAATCTCTACACAGATTTGCTCTTGCGCACGGCTCGACGGGTCCAGCAGTGTTGTCTGATTATGAAACCCAGAGGATCCAGAGGGGCTCCGATGTGGAATTCCCGCGGTCGACGAGAGGGCTCAGCTCCGTTCGACCCGCGTGTGGACTACGGGTTTTGAGTGGCTAGGTCAACGCGTGCGTGGAGGTACTCAGTGGGACAGACGATTCAAGAATTATTGCAGAACAAATGGAAGATAAGAGAACTGGTCCCTATGCTCACGAGCCCTTTAAGTCCTTCATTGGGAGCAGGGAGAGAGGGTTTGACGGGAGAGTATGGCAAGCGATAAGAGTCAACTGCTCTTCAGGGATTCGCCCCGGTGCTGGATTCACCGAATACGATAACGCAGAAACCGTGTCCGTTATAGAAGCCGCGTAAAAGCTAATATCCCCTTGGAAAATACGATACCTAAACGGTTGTCCCCACAAAGATTCATCTGAAAAGTAAAACTGAACACCAAGTGCTCATTGTCGCAGCGTAAAAGGATACGGACTATCCACCAGACGTCGATAGTTCCCTTGACTCGCTCGGTGTTCGACGGGAACTGTTGGATGTTCTTCGGTACGAGAAGGGCATTTTTGCTCGAAGCCACATTTCGAATTGTTTCTACAAAGAGAAAATGGGATCCGCCGTTAGTTCTATTGGAAGAGAAACTAACTAAATATAAATCTCATTACGGCAGTTCTATCACGATCAGATCCTACCACGATCTATTTCAGTGAGAGAATGCCACTAATTAGGATTCCACAGCCGCTGTGGATTCCGCTGCCCTACGAAGTATGTATCAGGGGTATACCCATGAAATTAGAAAATTTCCAGAGAATACAACTTTTCTTCATGATCAAAGGGTAACGCCGACTTTATTAAAAATATGCACCGTCGGCAGCCACACATTTGGCCCATCTTTCCGGCAGATCGCGGATTCCCTTGCGGTAGAAGTCTCCGCCCTTTGAGGCAAACCACTCGTCGAGCCAATTCCTGACGTTTTCGTATGTTTTGAAATGCTGGTTGGCAAGTCCGTGCCCCACCGATGCGAACAAGTGGTAATCGGAAGGGGCCATGTCCGGTGAGTACGCGGGATGGGGTAGGACTTCCAGGTTCAGAGCAGCGAGAGTTTCTTTGGTGGCTTTGGTGGTGTGACTGGGCGCGTTATCATGGAGGAGGATTCTCTTCTCGTGACGGCTCAGAATCCCTGGACGTTTCTCACTCAAGGCTCGCTTCATATCGATGAGCTGCTGCTGATAACGAACTGTATCGACTGTTTCCCCCGGTTTCAGCAGCTCGTAGTAGATTATCCCGTCTTGATCCCACCAGACACATAACATTGTCTTTTTCCCGTATCGATCGGGCTTCACAGTCTCCGGCGCAGCCTCCCCGGGGCTAAGCCACGCCGATTTACGCTTGGGGTTCTCGAAGAAAATCCATTTTTCGTCACTAGTGATGATTCGATGTAGGAATCCTTTCTTCCTCAACCTAGCAAGTAGATTTTTGGCTACGGTTTTCCTTCTTTCCTTCTGCCGTTCGTTAAGTTCATAAGGTATCCACTTGCCGAACTTCTGGATTTTCCCCATCGCAAGGAGTCGCTTCGAAATGGTTTTTTGAGTGACCTTCAGTCTCTTCGCGAGCTCCGCTTGACTTTGCGAGCAGTTTTCATCCAGCAGTTTCTGCAGATCATCGTTCCCAAACTTCTTCGGAGGTCGCCCACGAGTTCGATTGGACAGGTCGAAAGTCGAAATTGTTGGCATCGAACTTTTTGTACCAATTGTAGCATTGTGCTAAGCTCAAGGCACGCTCCCCGAAAGCTGTAACCAGCATTTCATGGGTTTCAGTTGCATTTTTTTTGAGATTGTATGCGGCAACCAGGGTTCCCCGCAAAACCACCTTTTCCGGCAGGTAGGAACACATCGTCATCGCAAATGATAAACAAAGCTAGACGAAATTCGTTTCGCCTAACGGTCGTCATTGTTAGGCGAGATTTTGATTCAAATCAGAACACAGGTTTGGCGTGAAAATTCCAACGACAATCAGAGCTAGCGCCGACCCGCGGATTTTCTAATTTCATTGGTATACACCTGATAGTTCCCGAGTAGCGGGTTGCATTATGAAGCTGACCGCGGGAGACATCAGGGGCGCATGTAGCTAATCTGATGTTGTTGTTGGTCTACATATATCCTTCCGCTTTCTCCACACCGAGAATAGCTCCCCCATTTCTCCGCAGTATACGTTTTCAAACCATGCCGATAAGGCTAATGACGTGGCTTTTTCGCGAGTATTTGCCATATAGAGCACTTTGGGGTTCATCTCAGAATCTGAATAGCCGAAGCGAGCTGGAGAACGCGTCCTGGCGCAATATTTCCCACTTTTCGCTCGATGACTCCCATAGCGGTCTCCATACGGTTCCCGAGCCTTGCTCGAGATTTCGGGATGATCGCACGGGAAGGGTGTTTTGAGTGAGGAATTTATCGGAATCGATCTAGGACGGGAAGATTTTATGATGGTTATTCCGGGAATGGGATCCCATATGAGAGTCTCTACGATGAGCTTCGCGAGAGCCCATACCGCTTCTCGAATCCTTCCGATTCGCAATGCTCAGCCTCCCCTTCCTAGCTCCGACTGGTCCTTCAGTAAGTCTCTACGTATTCCGGGAACCTTTGGCTGTTGTTCAGGAAAAAAACAGCGCTGTCTGGATCGATCGCCCACTCATTTTGGGAATTGTATGCTCGGATGTGACTCCCACGAGCCGAGACAGACGGTTGAGCGTTCCCACGAGCTGAGCAGAAAACCCCGGACCAATATTCCAACTGCTCTGTTTGTGAATCGATGTTACGGGGATTATTCGAGCGACAAATGGGCATAGGGAGACGGAGAAGTGAACTGATAAAAGATTCATCGGAACCATATTGAATCGCAGCTATACGCGGCATATCTTCGCGACTGAAGATGGTTCATGCCGCCCTCATGGATGTCGTTGCGAGGATGCTCAACACCACGAGAGTACTCAGCGAGCCGTGTCGTTCTGGGGATTCGCTCGCCTTCCATGAGACATTTCCCGCGAAAAGAAGATCCAACCAGTTCCGCATCTCTGTCCCGCTAGCGGTAGCTCAATCGCACCCGCTGCCGACCGCGCCTGAGTAAGATGCAGCAGCGGTGAGGAATAGCGACTTCTGAACAAAGCAACTCTGGCGCCACTGCGATTCAATGAGCTCTAGAAGTGCAGCATGGGAGAGGTGCGAGGAGAATGGGAAGCGCTAGCTCATCTCTGCGTTCGCTTCCGGCTGCGATATCCCAGCTTCCTTAGTCGGCTGCGATTTCGCTCATTCTGCGAAATCAGAATGGGAATACAATAGCGCGTTCTCGTCGGGGAGGAGTTCTCCATCCGCCCTGTTTCGATGCTCATCCCCTCTCCGACCCAGGGACCTCGAAAGTGGATGCATGAGCAGCACCTGCTCCCCGCTGAAGCACTGGATCGCAAGCGCGATACTCTCATAGTCCCGCTGGTGGCGAGCAGTCCAATATGCGGTTGGCTGGACGGGTCGCAGGTAGGCAGCTCGCAGACTGGGTATATGTATATTTATAATGTTCTTCTGCTCCTTCGTTTCAAAGTGTTCGTCGGCTCTCGGAGAGGAGCACACTTGGAAAATCCGCGCTCGGTTGTTCGTCTACCTTTCAGGAGAAAGAAAGGGAGCTGCCAACGAGAACCTTGCATGGAGGCCAGCGGTAGGCTGGCTGGCTGTCAGCTGAAAAGAGCCGCCTGGGAAAGGATTTGCTCACCGATAAAAACTTTCCATGCTCTGTCGTCGGGACTCTGCCTCCAACCGTACGGCCATCCCAGAACGACAGTGTTGTGTTTCAAGCCACCGAGACCCGCCGTTTGGATCCTGAAAAAGTCGTGCCTAGATTAGAATTCTTATCGTCTCCCTTCTTAACCGCCAGGCGACGTTTGTGGGTGAAACACTCCCAGCGAATTCCCTCGCTTTCTCCTTCGTTCTGGCTGATCCATTCAAAGAATGATCGCCATTGCCTCGTTCACAAAATTCTTATTCGGCCCCTTCCGCATCGAATGGAGAGCTTTAGCGAGCGAAATGTCATGGTGTACATGAAAGGATCGGGACATGGTCTCTAAGAGCCCCGGGGACCGAACTTCTCTAGCGAAAGAACAAGCTTCCACTCGGTGAGGCTGCCTTGCGAGGAGATGGAAACATCCGTGAGCGTTCGTCTTTGACGGCAACTCGTTCGGTATGTATCCCTCATCCGTCAAGTGTAACAATTGGATACGATCCATCAGACGGAATTCTCACTTCGACACTTTATTTATTGAGCGTTCCTCTCCCTCTCCAACGAATATCCTTCCCTCCACCCATGAGAACCGACGCATTCCCCTCCAAGTCTTCCGAAGACGAGTGACCTCAGACATGAGGGCGGATCAGCGAAGTCTCGCGATATCCTGGGTTGCCCTCTCCACCCCGTGCTGAGTATCGAGAATACTAAGGCCACCATGGGCGAGTCTACAAGTAAGGGACGGTCATATTCTCGTCCCCGAGGAATCCCACCAGCCACCAGCATACGTTTTCGAACAACGCGAGGGATCCGAATCCACCAGATGACCTTTAGGAATCAATTCGCCGATTTCCAAGAGGAACGAAGATCTCACTCAGTATTGGAATGGCATCCGACATGGTGGGGGCAGACCGGGTCATAATAGTACTTACATATGGCCGATAGATGATACGACATTCGTGCTGACGACGACTTGAGCGAAGCCTTTGACCTTCTCTTCTCGAATGACGCGTTTCAGACTCTGTTTGGATGCCTGAGCTTCGGCAGCCATCTTCTGGTAGTCACCTGGGAAAATGCGATAAGAACGTGGTGTAGAACTCGCCGAACTCGAGAGCCTTTCGAATCGGAACGAGCTGATATCGGGCTTGTACATCGCAGATCAGCGATTGCCAGCGCTCGACAACTGACGAGTGTAAAGCATGAAGGCCAGAGGCCTGCCTGTCAGTCGACCAATCTAAAATGAGACGGCTTACCTTCGAGAACTGAGGCTACAATTGTTAGACCCTTGCCGGCCTTGAGTTGAGAGGCGAACGTGATCATTTTTCGGTGCTCGGGCATGTAGTCGTTGTCCAGCTTACACAGCACCAGAACCTGCAAGGAACGAGGTCGTTCTGAGCCCCCGGCGTGCGTCCACCGAATGTATCTGATTCTCCGATATTGATTAATCCTGCAGCAGGAATATTCATTCATCTGTGCGAGGAACGAGAGGAGCTTATCGCGACCCCGAAAACCTCTGCGTGGGTTGCATGCCACGGCACATAGGCCTGAATCTCTTCGGAGAGCTCTCCGCACAGACGATAAGAGGTGGAATGAATTCAGCCGACGCCGAACGTTCGTTTCCTAGTTCGCTCTCACGACTCTCTCCGTTGAAGATTCGAGTTTTTCGCCAGCACCCGTGAGCTTCTCGAGGCCCTCGGCTTTTCTATCCAGATGTAAATGATAATAATGCATGAGTGAATATTTAATCCATCTCGCAAATTAATTGGGACTCGCCTGTGGTCTCCAGTTTTTCGTGTGGGGAGGACCCTCCTCCAAACGTAGCAGGGAGAATCTTGCCGCTGAGAGCGCCAATCCGCGCAATCCATCGCCCCACTCTTTCTCTGCACCTCTGTAATGATGTAATGACGCGCGTTACGCAAACTTGTGTCTACCCTGGCTGTGAGAGCATCGCCTGATTCGGATTGAAAACTCAACGCACCTGTATTCAATATACTTGTAGACGATGCCGGCGATAGCCATGGCGGCCAGTGCATAGTACCAAGATGAGAGGAACATGACCACAAGACAGAGCAAAGCTCCCACGAGAGACAACGACCAATGATAGTATTTGAATCGCGGCCGCCAGTTGGGGGTTCGCAGGAGCGACTGTAGAGTGCAGGCCAGATTGACAAACATGTAACACATCAGGAAGAACATGGTCAAGATGGGCGCAATGTAATCCAGATTCCCGATGAGGATCCCAAGCTCCGAAATGAACGCCGTCAAGAGGAGCGCGCGAACGGGCTCGCCTCTCGAGGAAGATACTGCCATCGGGTTGAGCACAGGAATGACGCCGTCTTTGGCAATGGCCTGTAGGAGACGAGGAGCACCTATGGGGAAAAAAAAAGGTCAATCGAGTCGTCGTCACGCTCATGAGACTTATCCGCGCCGACCCGTCTGTTTGGAGTCGCCCCCCTCTCCGTGCTTCTTCTCTTCAAAGTGTAGGAAAATATGGAACGAGAGAGAGAGTAGGATATCGATGACTTCGCTATCGCGATGAATGACCGGAGGAAACGATCGAAAAAAAACGACCGGCTTCATTCCACGGACGGCGGGGGAGGAGCGATCGCTCGATACTTCTGGGTGAATGATCAAGGAAAGGTAGATATTCTAGGGACCCGTTCTTGCCGATTGAGGTCTCCCTTTCTCTCATTAATCTTTAACAGAGACAGCGGCAGCGTTTTCACTGCAGCTAGGACCCGGTACGAGTGAGTTTTTCATTAGTTTTCTTCTCCTGAGAGCCTCGGCCTTCGCTTGTCCGCTCGTCCAATCGACCAACCGCTCTGCGACCAACCGACCGAACGAGCGACCGATTGACCAACGGAAGGATCCACCGACCACATTGCTGGGTCGACTGCACTGACCTGTCAAGGATTGAAGACCAGCTCCGATTGTTGAGAGTAGAGAACCAACAACGACCACCATTGGATCGGGATAGGCCAACTGCGCCACGGCCAACTGACCTCCGACGCTTGCTCCGACTCTGTGAAGTTATTAATAGCGGTTTTATTCTAAATCAGGGATCACATCGGTGGGGATCTATCGGTTCGCTCGGGCCACTAATGGCTGGCAGCGTCAATGTTTTACACCCTGCTGCATTAGCCGCTATGAGCATTGTATAAGAGACGACCGCTTCGAACGACGTTCGAGTATCTAGAGACAGCTGCCCATCCTGAAGAAGAGCAGCAGCCCCCCCCCCGCAGCAGCGGTCGGTATTTGCATATCGGGCGATTCCGGCAACAATCGTCAGTCCATGGTGAGTTACACGAGGTCCCGCGGGGGATCTGCGGGCGGACGCGTATCTCCGCCGCCCGGCGAGTGGGATGCGGGAGAGTTCTGGAGAGTAATTGGATCGAAGAGGAAGAGTATCCATGATGATCTCGCGTTTCGATGATGACGTGAGGAGTTGATCCCGAGTGAGAACTTGCGGGACGAGATTCACTTTCAATCTTCGATCGACCGGAGAGCGACATTGTGCAAATGCATGAGAGAGACGAAGCGCTGCCCCAGTAGTGCGACGTTGCCCGGCACTGCCCATGCAACATTAATTGTCGCCCCCACAGTGGTTGCTGCTGGCAGAGTGATCTATGATCACACTGGCGCCAAGCACCGACGAGGTAGCCAGTGAATGTAACGAGTCTATTCGCTTTCTTGCGCCTGTCCCAGCTATCTCACTCAGTCTCTCGAGCAGCGGAGGAGGCTTTCGCAACTTGTCCCGATGTTTGTTCCTCGGGCCCGGTCGTCTATGCTTATCCGTGTCCAGAGCATTAATTTCAAGCCAGGCAGTGAAAGAGATAGCGGTGTGTAGAGGTGCCGTTCTTCGTTGCGAAGCGACATTGGTGATCCTGTGTCAAGGACACTCTCCCTCGTTTCGTCGGCAGACACTTGTCTGCCGACCGAGGCGGGCCCGGCGCAAGCCGCTCACATCCTCCCCGATCCGGCCCCGTCTCCTCGACTTCAACTAAGATTGATAGCCGGGCGCGCGATGGACGCCGGCCGCCTCTCTTCGTTCCACGACTGGAATTTCCCTTCGGAGGCACCGATTCCGCTCACTCAGAGTCGGCCAGCTTGGCTGCAATCGCCAACGCATGGCCGCCGAATTCCCGGCCGCCCTGAGAGACCGAATCACTGGCTTGCGGCGGTGGCCGGGTCGCCTCGTCCGAAGCTCAGCCCGATTCGTCAGGAGGGGATCCAATGTGGCAATTTGGATGCTCAATCGTTCAAATCACAGATCCGCTGCGAGCGCAAAGAGCAGCTACGGCGACATCGACGATCCGGAGGAAATGTCCGAGACCTGGCATGACTGGAGTCGGTCATTTCTGCCTCACTCACTCAGTTCAAGATGACCGAAGTAGCGCCACGGTCGACGCGAGGCGCACAGCCTGGAAATCTCTCCGAATTCCGTCGGGCTCGTCGAATATTTTCCGTGAGATGCTGTGCGCCGTGATGGAATCGATCGAAGCAAAGAAGAAGGAGAAAACACCGCTCACCAGTCGCTACCCTGCGCCGACTCTAGGGCTCGCGTAGGAAGAGCTCTCCGATTTTTCTCTTTCAACTCTTCAACTTCTCAAAGATTCGCTCCGAACGCAGAAGCCCGGAGATACGACGCTCTCGACGCTTAACACGTTGCTCGCAAGAGAGAAGAATCGCAATGATGAAGACGAATGGAAGGCCCTTATCTTCGAATTTCGCCCAATGATTCGCCAGGAATGAATTTCCAAACCAGTCCCTCGCCAGCGGTCGGCCTGAAGGTTTCTCGTTTCTGCTCACTCAGTTGATATTCTTGTTGGATTCTGTCGCTGTCGAGTTGAGGGAAACGAACGAGCATGACACTCCGCAGTGGTTTTCGCGCGGAGTACGGGCTTGAGGCTTCGCAGATGCGCGAGCGAGCTCGTAAAACCCAGTGCTGCTGAAGACGCTGTGACGGCAGAAAGCAGTCGCACTCGGCGACCGGAAAAGACGGAATCGTGTGGGGACAAAATATTTCTCATCTTGCCCATCCTTCCTTTTCTTTGTTTCGTCATTCTATGGATGGCATTCCATCCACCGCTTCCACTTCACAGAGGAGAAAACTCGCTCGAGGTTCACTTCGGAGATGTCACGGCAAGAGGGCGACTCCACGGTCGAATTCACCTGCTCGACGCCGGAGTGAATCGGAAGCGGGGAGCCTCCGAAGAGGCCGTAACTCCGACCCTGCGAGCGGCAACAGCGCCGAGAGACAATTGGGCAACCGTTCACAAACAGGACTCTTTTCGCGGACCTCCTGGCTCGCCGAGAGAGGCCAGCTGGTTTCCTCGAGAAGTTCCATGTTTGCTCCGTTGGTTAAATCAAACCGACCCGATGATCTCGATTATGATACCGAAGTCGATGCCCCTCGCTTCCGGTGACCTTTTTACGTTCCGCCGTGCTTCCTCGATGGCTTTGGCCCCATCGTTAGATGTCTTCTGATCTCGTCGGAGAAGGTATAAACAAGAATAGCTCTAGATAGGAGAGCAACCTCGCAACCTACTTGTCTCTGATGAATGTGTTATCGAACGCCAATCCGAAAAGGAACACGCCGGCTAGGTACACGATAGAGGTTGTGATTTGCGCAGCCAAGGTTCCCACCGGTATTGACTTTTGAGCGTCGGCGAGATCTCCAGAACGATTTGAACCGGCCATTATACCTGTGGAAAAGACCGAGAAAAGTGCTGCATCAGTGAGGGATCCGGGAGACGAACGTACCGCGGCCGGAAGACCCCGGAGAATTCTGAGATTGTGTCATGCTAGGGGGGCCTGGAAGCCTCCGGAGAAAAGTCGTGTTCGAAAGTTTCTCCCCAGAGTCCAGAGATCAAGTTCTGCTAGAGCTCAGAGAGGAACTATCGATATGGCTCGAGAGTCTGCGATGAGCTTTGTGATTGGAGGGATCGCAATGAAGAGATGGCTCGTTCGTTTCATGGGGGAGGCGAACTCAAACCGGAAGTATGATCGATAGAGGAGTTCCCCCAACACGGACTGTGATAGTTCAGAAAGTAAAATGGTCCTTACCAGTCACTGAGGGGAAAAAGATAGCGACGAAGAAAGTGAAACTCGTCGTAATATCCGACACCACGTAAATGAATTTGTTGTCCGATTCACCGTCGAAAACTTTCGGATCATCGATTCTCGAAATAACCTGGCCTTTCGTCTTGAATCTGATTGGGACATTATCTGCAACGAAAAGTGAGGAGTTATATCTTGAGATACTGACTCGACTTCGTAGGGCTGAATCGAGTTCGTCCTACTCAACGCACCTTTGAAAACACCACTGCCGAGTCCCGGATAGGCGGCGACCTCCTGGATCCTTCCTCTGTTCTTGAGGAAGTAATCATCAAACATTCCGGTCTTGTTGTCGAAGAACATCGGTTTTATCTCAGCTTCGGTGCAGTTGAAAGTTCCATTGTTTGATATTATACGATCTCCGAGCTGGCAGTACCTGTGAACGATGATTCTTTTGAGTCATCTCCAAGTCTTCGAAGCAGTACGCTTCAATACGGAAGCGACTGAGATGAGAGCTGGCACGGGACTGTCAGACTTCGTGCCCCCCAGAGTCGGTCTCGACACAGAGGGTTGGGTTTCCCCCCTAGCTCTCGATTAGTGAAAAAAAGAGAATACAGAGCTATCGACGTTGACCGCATACAATATCCCAGACTCCGCGCCAAGAAGCGCGTCCGCGGGGAGCGTTTGCGCCTTCGTAGTAGTATGGTATAGGAGCGAGCCGCCATGTTTTATATCAGCCCCACGCGAGGACCCGATCTGGCCCCTCTCCGGAAAAATCCTGAGGACGCCTTTTGCCGACGGGAGAAAGAGAGAAATACTAAGCGTGACTTGGATAATGCTGGCTCCTCGGATCAGATTGCGGAATGAGCAATCAAGACGACTGCGATCCCCGAGCCGCTCCGCCATTGCCGACCGTCGAACGGTGGGCAATGACAACGAGCGGCAAACTATTCAGATACGCCGATTGGAGTTCATTCCGTGCGAGCAATCAGAAGAATATCGGCACTGGGTGGTCTCTTTATCAGCCTGACTTCTTTCCAAGTACCAGCCACGACACGCTCACTCAGGATCCGATTTTGGCTTCGACCCTCGAAAGCTGAAAGAGAGGTCCCGGTCAGAAATAGACTTCCGCTTGCGCAAACCGACCCCCGGAATCGCGACTTCCGCGCGGACGATCGGGCGGCAGGGTAAGATTCCCATGAGGCGACGACTCCGAACTTCGTATTTCGGAAAGCAACGAGATGTCTTCGGTTCGCGTCGTCAAACTCTTCCACTTGATTGCGCACGCAATCGAGGCGAAGATATGTTTTCGACCCGAATAGACTCCTCACTGAGGCCTTTTCTACTTTCGGTACTGTTCCCGGAGGCCTTCGACCTCTCCGAAAGATTGACTTAGGAAAAGTCGAGCGGATTTGTATTCTATCGAGCGCGGTACCCACAGCAGCCAAGGCGACACCCACGAGGCCCATGCGAGGCTCGGTCATGGACGAGAACGTGTGCTGCTCGTTCTTTCGCCGGCCCATACAAGAGTCAAAAGTCTCGACACGACTTCCAGTCGCGCATATCTGTAAGCTGCGTGGCGAGCGAAACCAAAGACCTCTCTGCCGCGTCGGAGCCACTTGGACCGAGCCATTTACAGGTTCCATCCCGGGCCGGAGAAGCTGCTCCTGGTCAAGGTCGAATGCTTGGAGCTTCCAGATGACACCGTCGGAAGAGCAGAACATTTCAAGCTTTCAGGCCATTGTCCGCCCGGAATATCGGTGGAACGTGAAGGCCCCGAATACGAGCCTACAGGAACTCAGAGATGTCTATCGCAGCAGGTGGGCGACAGTCGCTCGAGAGCAATCAAGCTTATGATAAACTTCGCTTCTCCCCAACCTTGCTCTGAAGAGAGGTCTCCCCATAGCAGCACTCCGTGAGTTCCAGATGACGAAATCCAGAGGCTCTGTGCCCACAGGAACAAGAGGTTTACGTCATTGTCCCAGAGTTGAGGAGACTCGGAAGTTATCGAATATTGCGTCAGATCTCTTGGGATACAGAGAATTGTTCAGGGGGTGCAATCGGAAATGTTCTCAGAGAAAGGTCACGTCAAACGAACTCTGCTCCGATCCCGATGCGCCAGACGGCCCCGGGACGACAGTGCCTGCTGCGGTGCGGGGAATCGCACAGTCAATTTGGACTCAGCTCGGCTGTGGTTAGAAGGAAGTCTGACCGCGCGATGACCTGCTCATGAGCGCAATCTTCCTCCTCTCGTTTCTGAGCGTTGCCGGGATGGTGTGGCGTCGATTTGAAAAGTCTCAGTCAGTAATCAAGCGCCGGGAGATGGAATACTGATTGAGCGTCCTTGGCTTCTGCACGGCAATTTCTGCTTCGGAGAATCATTTTCCCGCACCATCACCAAGCTTGATCCTCCGAATCCGGTGTCGTGGGTCGCGGCTTCCTCTGGCCAGGATACGTCTCGGCAGCTTCAGAAAGCGGCATACGTAGGCTCTCGGATTTCAGCGAGGATCGGCGAAACTCTCTTCTGCCTTACTATCAGCGGTCGTGTACAGCTCGCTCCTCATTATATAACAGAGAAGGGGATAGGTCTCTCGCGCGAGACCGAGATACCTAAGAGAAAAAATGCTCGCACATTCCATCAGCAACCTGGTTGTACTGGAGAGGGTAGCGTCGCACAGTAATAATCCTCAGCACCCGTGAACGGAATATGGTGGTGTTGCCAAACGAGCAGAGGAATGCGACAGACCTTGAGGCTTTTGACGCGCTGCTCCCAGTTGGCAGAGACTCTCGAGACGCCACGTATCCCGTGTGGCGAGGTATTCATTCGAGCGTGGAGCATAAAAGATCGAACCATGGAAGCAGAAATGTCCAGTTCAGCGTGAGTTCAGTGATGCCTCCGAAAATCGGAGCGCTTTTTTGAGTCCTCCGGAATGCTTTTGGAAATCCTTCTCTTTATCATGATTGCTGTCAACGAAGAGCTTTGGATCCTCCAACCACCTGAAGTCATCTCGGTCTTTCAACGACTCCGTCATTCGGGTCGGACTGCGGGGCGAGAGCTCCCACTTCTAGTGTCTTTTCGATGCTGCTCGCTCCTCAGGGCCCTCTCGGTGCGGCGCGGCGTCGCGCATTCATCTGTGAGGAGGAGGAGGAGGAGGCGATGAAGATCTTCGCGCAGCCAACAACTCTCTACGGAAACTCAATGAAAACTCCCCCCATCCGAAGTTGCTACCGATGTGATTTTGACGCCGCGCCGCTTGAAAACTCGCTCGTGCCGCCTGCGTGTATACCTCTCTCTGTCACTCGCCGATGCGAGTACCGAGACACTTCTGCTGGCGTCGGTCGGCGTCGTTCTCTGTTAGTGACATCCGCTGTGCTGCAAAGAGTCAAATGGGGGGTAGCTGGTGGGATACCACCGCTACTCGAACTCTTTGTATTTTGCACTCTCGAAAGAAAACGGCCAGTAATGATGGCCTTGTCTATTTGCCGGAATGTGCTCTCTCGAGAGTACGTGTTCCCATTGTGTCTCCGTTCCCACAGCATAATAAGCGCTTCCGGATACTGTATGTATGAATGCCGCCGTCCCCGACTGCCACAATTCAACGTCCAACTCCCCGTGCTCTCCCCTCTCCCCCCTTCCCGGGCCTCCAGCAGATGAGTTATCTGAGCGCTGGGCAGATCCTCCGCGAAGTCTTCCCTCTCATCCGCAGAAATTCCCGTTATACGTCGATCAATCGACCGTTCACGAGCGATCGGGCGGTCTGGAATGTGGCATGACCGGAACTGCAATTCACTTCGTCGAAACAAACGATTGACGCCGTCTTGTTGGAATATCAACAGAAATGTGGGCGTCCGGAGGAGACAAATTCTCCTGCCACGATTGCGATCATTGTCGATGCCATCGAAAATGTCGCTGAGAATAATAATGACTATTTCAATGGGAGCGGTGAAATGAACCGATGAGGCTGCAATTCATTTCAGTTCTGCTCATCGCCTCGAGCCGTTCGGTGTGCTCGAATACGGATGCTCATTATTGAGGTTCCCCTACGGCCCTACGCTTTGATCCTGGAGCGGATCATCGCCCATCTGATCCGTTGATGCAGCGATGGAGCGTTTCGAGTTTCGCGGTTCCGTGATTTCGCGACTCTACCGAGAGCAAGGAGCAGGAATAGACGAACGAAGAAACTTCCGGAGGAGGCGGCCGCCGCAAACGCTCACGGATGACTCGATCACAATAACGACGTCTGATATCGCTTGGCGAAGGATCTATGCTTGGAATGCAGATTGTGTTCAGATGCAAGGACCATTCGTGAGATTATTAGACCCGGTCACGCAACGTAGTCAGCTTATCGGTCTGCTTCGCAAACCCATACCCGAAAATGCCTGGGATCGATTCTTCGAGGATTCTGTGCCGAGAATCTTCAAGATAATAGACCCCAAGAAAACGAGAGGGGATCTTGCTCGATCAGCGGTAGGGGGTCCATCCATACTCACATGAGGTTCGAGTTTCCATTGAAGTTGACGAAGGCCCCAACAAACACTGACAAGATGGATGCCAGGACACAGAAGAGAGCGATCGGGGCCAGCTTCGAGACGAACGCAACGCCTATCCACACGACGAACGTCATGATGATCAGGAGTGCAGTGCCGTAAGTGCGGTAGTTGTTGTATATCACAGAGTCCGAGTCCGAGAATTTACCATAGAGTTGGAGGTTGGGACACAGATAGTTCTGGAAACAGAAAACTCTCTATTAATCACAACTGAGATGGAAAACTCCTTTTTCCACGAAATCATCGAAAAATTAGAGAACCATTCCGTTGATTCTCCCGACATAACCAAGCCGGATTAATCCTGATCGAGGGCCTCCAGACTTCGCATCTTCGACTACGGATGCGAAAGTCGGTCCTTCAGTCATTCTCCCCATCGTATTCCCTGAGCCACTGCTCATTGGAGCACCAGGCGAAATCACAAGTAGTATTACCGATTGCGAATCCCCCGTTCGAATTCGGCGGAGAGAATAACTTCGCCCAGTATCGGTTGGCTATGAGCGAGAATCGCCTCAGTCAACATCGACATGCCAAGCGACAATGATGACAGGAACTGGAGGAGCCCGAAAGCGCCGCGTGTGCGTAAAACACCACATGCATCGTGGAAGGATACTACTACTCCGTTCTGCCTAGAGCACGCGGCGGAGCGTCGCCGACAAAGGTTCGAGGCCTTCTCCTTCTTCCAGCAAGCCGCTTAAGGCCTGGAGCATCTCACTTCCCGAATGCAGAAAGTCCGCTAAAAGAGTATGTATGCGTTTATGAAAGCTCGCATGAGAGATTAGTCGAATCACGAATTCTGGCTCGAGGACAGGCCAACGCCTCCGCCACAGGCAGCCTCGCGGGATCTGCTCGCTTTCTCGATCAACATGTTGTTGCGACCGAGCCTCATCTTCGTTGTTCACCCTGCATGGCATAGAGTAATTAGCCGTTCGCAGTGGTACCAGCCAGGTCTAACAGGGTCATAAAGCATCGTCCGCCGACGGCAAGCGTCAGAAGCATCGCGGCCGAGGGAGAGGCGCGCGGCTTCTGGCCACGGCGACAGCAACATCCGTACGGAAATAAGCTCAACAAGAGTTGGCCCGCGAGGAGGGTGGAGCACGGACATTGCTTCACGGAGTGTTTACAGAGCAGCAACGGGAGGCGCTCTCGTTAGATTCGCTCCGATTATGGCAATTATCCGACTCGGGCGGCGCTGCGTTCGTCGTGCAGGCGCCGCGCCTCAGTCCCGCCAGGCTCCAGTCTGTGTACGCTCCATTAAGTACGCTACTCCACGCACAGCCTGCCGCCGTATGAATTGCGAATCCGAGAGTTCATGTGCTCCTAATCGACATTGCAGATCTCACGGAGACGCGTGGATCGGTTCGCGCAGGTCCGAGTGCAATCATGAGGGTGTCGAGACGACGACGGACGCAGCGCCCAGCCTCTTCCGCTCAAAGCGCATGTTAGCCCGCAGCCGGGAGGTTCAGCCACCTTATTACCACCTTGTGTTGACCAAATATCTCGCCATCGTGGGCATAAGTAGTTATCGCTGAGCTTGTTGTCGCGCGAGAGCTGGTGACAATAACCTGGAGAATAAGTTCACTCGCTCGCCCGCGCTGTAGATGAAGACTCGCAGGGCTGTCTGCGTCAGACAAAATCGAGTTATAGGGGAAAACAATCCATGATCATCGCATCAAGATGTTTTCGAAAACGTTGCTGGTGATGTTGTTGCTGTCTCCGCTGACGTTCCTCGAGCCGAGTGAGCGGGAACAAGTCCGTCGAGAGCATAATCCCACGAAACATCTCAAGCAGAAGAACAAAAAGATGGAGAGAAACGAGATAAGAACATTGAGACGGAGGACCTGAAGAGGAGAGCTTCTATTCAACCCACCTGGGTACGACTGGGGAGCCTCGACTGCGTTTCTACCAGTTCGCCTGCCCGGCAGCCTCTACCTAGCTACCTACCTACCGACCGACCAACCGAGCCAGCATGCAAGGAACCAAAGCAGCCGTATCGGAGGAAACGACGGTAAGGGAGTAGTAGCATGAATTCTCCTTCATCTTGTTCCCGGGCTCCTCCTTCCTAGTTTCCTTCTCGTTTCCTCCTGTTCCCCGACTTTGCGGAGCTGTTTGTGGTCGTACTTTTGTTCGCCGCACTATGTTAATGCTCCGCCGGCGCAAGCGAAAAGAACACCTCGACTGATAGAAGTACGCCCGAATCGCATAAGACCATACGGGGGCTTCCGAACACATAGAGTGAGGAGGACGGCGGCAGCGATGATCTAAACTGTCAAAGCTCCGCCGAACAGGTGTCTCGCCCGCTCGAGAGACATTTTTCTCTGAGCGTTTCCCCACGGATTTTTTTCCCCGAATCCGCGGGCTGCTCCGGCGCGATGCTGCTGTCGTCACCGGAGACTCCCCAAACGTCTCGGATCTAGAAAGTTTGATGCTACGGGCAGGCCGGACGAACTCCGGAGTCCTTGACAGTTCGGGAGCTATCGGAAACAATGCTCATGATTCATGATTCATGAAGTGCTCACATGATCGGCACAGAGCAAACGCGGCGGAACGTTACGCACAAGACGGCGAGCATGAAAACCCATATATCGGAACTCATTGTCGCTCACTCGCTTGAACGCAACCCCGGGGAATCGGGAAGACCCGCATCGGATCTCTTCAGGAGTTTATCCTCGCTCTCTATCCGAGGATATTCTGTCGCCGAGGACTTCTCTCTCGTCTGAATTATTTATCGCTTCAATGGAGGCGCCGCATTGGAAGTTCGCTGCTTCATACTTTCCACCTCTCCGCGTCTCCATCGTTTACCCTGGTGTCATTGGGAAATTTTCCCGGGAATGATCGGCGTTTAGTCCTCGTATCGATGGTAGAACACTCCTCTGAATTTTCTCGAAGACTGAGAGTATGAGAACTTATTCCGGAGCCTCAGTCGCGCAAGGGAAACTGCTCCGAAGGAAAAATCCGACCGACAACATGAAGACACCAGGAGCCGAAAGGAGCTCCACTCTGGATAGTCGGACCGCCCGCCGGAACGAGTTCCACTCCAGCCATATTTCAGAGGGCTCTGCGTCATTCATTCCTCTACTCAGCTGTCCCGCTTTGCGGTCGTTTCCATTTGGTCGTCGCGCGAGTTGCGTAGCCCCAGCAGTAGCACATCATTGCGACAGCCGTTGCATTAGGGCATACGTGAGAGTGAATTCCAATACTCCAGGCTGTCTTATAACCCTGCTCGCTCCCCGAAGCCTAAACCCTCGCTGCTTGTGCCTTCACCAACGATATCATCAATTTTTCTTGAACCGGCTGAGAGTTTCCGCACCCTCTCGCTAACAACGGGAAAGGATCACCATCAGCAGGGGGATCATCTAAACGAACTGCCCCACTGCACCGCCTCTCTCCGAATTATCTTCTCCGATATTTGGCCGACGAAAACATGGCGACTCGATTGGAGGGAAGCTCGGACGAGAGAGGAAGGGCGATGCCGCATCGAACAACTTCCTCTGCTTCCCGATCATGTTTCTTTGTACCGCGACGTAGTCTTTCCATCAATCGACGAGATCATTTGTCCTCGAGCGTATCGGATCTCCTTCTAGGAAATGATAGTGAGCTCAATCCGCGAACACGGAAAAAGAGAGCTCACTCGCTCAAGAGACTCGAGGGACGTCGCGTAGACGGATCACAAAGAGCTTGTACGAGGCAAATTACACCTAACCAGGACGCCAGCTAGCTCAGCCGACCGTGACCCTCGCGGAGTGTCCCAATAAGCGTTTGTCCGCAGATGGCTGATGCTCATCTCTTATGCCTTCTCCAGAGAACTTTGAAGTCGAGGAAAGAGCAGCTGCCGGGCTGACCTCAGTCGGAAGAGGTTTGCTGACTCGTACCCACTTCATCAATTACCACGGAGCGCAACACCTTCGAGGCGATGCTTCATTCCGGAGAAGTGACTGAGATTGCTCTTGCTCGCATTCACCCCGTAATCCCCCCCCCCCGTCGTCACTCTTTCATTCGTTCGTGTTATCGCCCGCCGAGAGACCAACGATCGCATCACCATGAAGAGACGAATGATCCAAGCGGTGCGGCTCGGATTCGACCCATGGAATTCGTGGACAGAACGACTGAAGAGCGTACTCGAGATTCACGCTCGGCGACGACCACGAGACTTTGTTCGAGGAATATCTGGATAGACCGGTCGATGCGCGGTAATTTGATTGCCTGACTCGAATGACGGAGCGAAGGTAAAAAGCGCAGACGTCATCGACTCAATGATGGTGGGCCGATTACATTTGCCCATCGCAACTGAGGCTCATCTGACGCTCGGGAAAGGACTCTGCAGGACATCCGCTCACCATGGGTCTCAAGTAGCTAGATTTCCACTTAGAGCAAGTGGTTCCTTCTGTCGGCTCGCTCTAATCTGATTGGGACGCTCTAGGAAATCGAATTGACGAAATGTTGCGAGCATAAGCCCCAGCTGTGAGAAACAGGGATAGCCGAATTTCTGCAACGGAGCGAATCCGGTCCACGCCTCGTGGACAGGACTCGGCCGCTTTCCGTCTTTATCCCCCGACTTGCTGGACTGGGGAATATCCAGCGGTGCCTACGCGTACACGTCGACAATGACATCTTCATGAAGCTATGGTCAGCTGGAAGCCGCGATGTGGACAAAGAGTTCGCTGCTCAGCCCGCGAGCTGATTGCCACCGTTCGGGGCCGCGCTCTGATCAACCTCCGCCGAGGTCACGCAGGCCTGCCGGGCCAATGTTGTCCAAGAAGGGAGCACCAGGACAGCGAAGCTGGCGCCGGACCAAGATAGCGGAACTTGGTCGCCTCTGTCAGGGTCACGGAATGGCCGAGGGACTCGAGACCGTTTCGTGATCTGCGTGAATCAACTCGGCAAGAGGAACCCATAAGACACTCCCGCGAAAGCAGATATCAAAACGGGGAATGGATCGAGACCATATAACTTCCTTTCGTCGGGACTGAGACGGGGAGTCCGAGCAGAAGCGTGGGAACAGCGACTTCGATTGGGGGAAGAGTCGAGCGAGCTCCTGAACGTCGACTCCATTAATTCAGCTGGCAGCAGTCGGAAAATCGAATCCAGTGAGGTTCCGCGCTCTCCGGAATATTAAAGGTGTATCTGGCCTTAAGAGGCCGGAATCCAATGTATTTACGAAAGCTGCATGACAAAAGGGCGAGCGATTGCGGGGTCCTGGCGGGTCCCATCGCGATTATGGCGGCGCACAGACAACGGAGGCTCAACGATTAGTCGTTATCAGCAGCGGAGGCACAACAAGCAGCCATTGGCTGGAAAGAGTTTGGCATGAAGTGCCGTTTAGGGTTTCTGTCCTAATGAGGACGTCAGCCGTTTCTGCTATTGCCGCCGCCGCCGCCGCCGCAATCGATCCCCGCCCGAGCAGCCCGCGACTGCACGCTCCAATGTCGAGTTGAGTTCTTTCAATTAAGCGAAGCGTTCGCCCGATCTGCGATCAAGTCGAAGCGTGACCTCCCAGCTGCGATGATTTCCATGATTCACCGTCCTCCGACAAGTCTCGTGCGCCGGGTGCGTCATCGGTCGCTGGCTCCGTCGGTCGGCTGGCCAGTCGACGCACCACGCCAGCGACCTTGTAATTCCGTTTTTCTATAAGTTTCTTCTTTCGATTGAACGTACATCGATCGCAGTGTCGTTGGATCTCAGAAACCTATCGGAGAGGAGCGACGATCGGGATACTTACGAGAAAAATCTCCACGGCTCCGGTCACGTACATGGCCGCTGCAACTGTCGTCGCGAGATAGAACAAGATCCCGACGGCGCCTCCGAATTCCGGTCCGAGAGAGCGGGAGATCATAAAGTATGAGCCTCCCGCAGGTACGATTCCGTTCGTGGCGATAGCCGATAGTGAGATGCAGGTGGTGAAGGTCTGGAATGGAAACCCAGCGTTAGTGTTTGTTGCTGCCCTCATTTCAAAATAGCGCTTGAGTACACGCTTGAATCTACATAATATTATGTAGGAGCGTCGGAGTTCTCGCGATTCGACGTCGGACTTCCGCCACGTCTGGGCTTTGCATGATTCTCTGCGGGACTGCCGCCAATCGGAGTCTCTCGACGATGGCGCAGGGCTATCTGTAGGTCTGCCGATCGTGCAGGCGCAGACTGGTAGTGGCCATGAGTAGTCTCTCTCGAATCGAGCGAGTAGGATTTTTCCGCGTCGAGATTTTTTCCCCGGCTCGCTCTAAGCTGGTGCTGCCACGCTCGAAGCGCTTACCCGAGCCGCGAACATGGGCAATGCAGAAACGCATGGAGTCCCAAGGCCGAGCGCGTACTGTCTAAACAGGAGCGGGAGCTGTCATGGAAACTCCGCCGCCGAATTCCGGAACCCGAACGGGTCGTCGACTCAAGGATCGACGTCTTGCAGACGTATCAGAATCCCATCGGGCCCGTCCTCGACGTCCCCTGCGGTACTCAATCCTCGAGCGACCTGATTTGGTCGAGGACCGCATAGCCCGTTCCCATCCTCCCGTTGCGTGGGCCGCTAGCGCGGAAGAGACACAATCGTGCTTTTTCTATTAGCTTTCCTGAGCCGTCGTCGTCGAGATGATGCCCCTCGCCTGCACGCCAGCTGCATTCAGGAGAGGTGACCTTGGAAAGTTTGTTATTCATGGGGTCACTTGTCATTTCAATTGAACATCTGTCGACCGGGTGTACGGGCCTGAGATCATCTTCTGCCTGTTCCTCGCTCGCTCGACGAAGTGATAGCGACAGACTCTCGGGCAAGCTCGAGCGTGAATAAGGTTCGAGCGTGCACACTGGAACCTGCGACGAAAGCAGATGCTCCACATTTCGCTGGTCTCCGACCTTGAGTTCTGGTCAATGTCAAGAGGAGACACGAGGACTCGGGCACTTGCATGTTCGGAGCTTGTTCGTATATTATATTCTCGATCCGGAAGCCACTCGGAGATTCAGTGTCTTTCGGAGCGACAACAATCCTCTCACGACGCGCAGTGTGCAAGGGACTCCAAAGTAATCGTGTCTCGGCTTCAGTGAATTTGTAGCGAAGCGGAGATTGACGAAGACAGCTTCGCTCTGCGTCAACATCCACCTTCCCGGAGGCTATGCTATTCCGGCGTATATTTTCCTCCTGGATCCGGAAAAGTAGGTTTCCTTCTCGGAACCCGACATTTCCGACCAAGGACAACAATGTGCGAATCGATGGGGAGGTGTGGTTCGATCGAAACGCAAGCCGTCAGGACTCCGTCAGGAGCCGTTGCCATCGAGACGATAAGGAAAACGCGGCGAACATCCTCTACGAAGCTCGTCACGCTCGAGGAACTGTTCGACCTATTTTGAAGCGTCGTCCGCGTTCTCTCCTCTATGTTCATCCTCTCCACGGTCCTCGTTCGGCGGATTGCTTCCTCTGAGTGAGTTTGCATTTCCTCGTCCGTCAACTGCCGCCAGTCGCGGAAAAACAAACGACGGAGAAGGGAAGGACAAGAAAGCTCATCGGGAAGAGACGAATGGCGTGAGATTGGCTGAATGGCCGGCCGTACATGGAGGGTCTGTTTCCTCTTGTTCCTCTTCTAAGGAACTCCACCCTCGTCGCTTCACACGTTTAGCTTCTCACGTCGTCATCAGCGGCACCGATGGCGGCGGCGGCGGCGGGAGCAGCCGCGCTTTTGGCAATAACAGCAACCGGTGGCGGATGGAGTGCGGCGCGGCAGCGGCGACGGCAGCAGAAGAAGAACAAGAAGAGACGGGAGCGCCATGGAATCGAAGGGAAAAACAGCCGAGCAAGGCTCACGCTGGAGACGTTTCGAGTACAGACAGAGCGTCGTACCTTCTATCGAGCGTGCGGCAGAAGCCGGAGGAACGCGACTGGACTCGCAAAAAACGCTTTCCCCACGGACTATGATAATAGCATTCGAATAGGATTCGGGCTGGGCGGGAGCCGCTTGCCCGGGCAGGTCTCGCTACGAGCCTGCCACTCTCAGAACATGCGGCGTTCATGGAGGAAAACTTGATTCAATGTGTTTCCATTCCATGGGGCTTTCGGTTCGCTTTCCGGCAAGACGAGGCCGGCCTTCGCTACTGTCGAAATGCTGAGTAAGAGGGAAGAAAGCGAGCCTCGATTCCGCTCCCCCCTTAAACCTCATGGTGGTGGGCAACCGGCGGCTGCGCGTTGGGTAAGCCGGGAGACTGGCTGGCCGTCTGGCCCAGCGCCAGGACAAGGCTGCCCTCGCTTGCTTGGTTGTCCGTTCGCGCCCATTCGCTCGCTTTTCTCCCCTCGCTCGGGAAGAACTCACCATGGAAGCCTACTGCGGCATAGCCTCCGCCTCTCGCTACCGGAAGGTAAAAAAATGGAAGGGAGAAAAAACTCTGACGCAGGGGGCATGACATGATCGCCGGCGAGCTTTTAGCCTTGCTTAGCTTCTCGGTTTCAAACCAGGCCGCGGGAGCCGCTGTAAACTTCAACGCCCGCCCGTCAGCCGCTCGGGCCGTCAGCTCGCTTCCCTGGCGACTCACAACAGACGACGTAATCAAGCGGAAAGAACGTCATTCAGCCAAATGAGAAAAATGTCATTTCGCTCGCCTTGCTGTCACACAACGGCAAACGGGGGGTCGTGGGGGTCAGGAGAGTATACCGAGGTTGGCGCCTGGCACCAGCAGAAACGGGAGCAGCAGTACAGCAGGGACCGACTCAATAGCTGTTCCGGCATGACAGAATTGAAGACAGCGACAATAACAAGACAATCTAACTGAATCAAAGGAGCGGGATGGCACCTCCGACCAGCCGACCGACCGGTCAGCCGTTGCCTGACGACGGGGCAACTGCGTCCGCATGCGATTTCCTCGCGATATTAATGCTCCAGGGAATGGATTCGATACCCGGACCGGAACAACGCGACAGACAAATGCGAAAATATACATATAGTACGGTTGTACTTCCCGGGAGTTCGCGGGGCAGACTCCGGCTGAGCGAGGTCTCGAGGCCTCGAGGGATAACTATCCGAAGGTGGTAAGAAAATCCGGAATTCCTGATCGGGAATGCCTCCGGCTAAAGACCTGCGGGAGAATCCGCGAAACACCGTTTCGGAGCTGCGAACCGCACTCGGCCGCCTGCTAGGCTCCGTCGAGGGCTGGGAGAGGACGAACAGCAGCGCCGGGAGCAGAAAAGAAGCTCCAGAAAAACCCTGTCGGTGTTCGTGCAGGCGAGCGAAGTCTGGTCAGTAGGCCGGATTTATTCGACTGACAGTACACGAATCAGCGTTCATGGCTCTCCATATCACGCTGTCGTAGTCTTGCAGCCTGTCCAAGTAGAGCTCGGAACGTCCCTCGCTGCCCCTTCATCTGAACCGGTAATGAAAGGGTTAGCAGCCGCACCGAAGCAGACTGCTTAGTACGGTCGATTTGCATTTGAGAAAAGGAAACCAACCAACCAACGAACCGGTTCTCGTTCTGCTTTTTTTCGTGGGCGCGATTCTATCTAGGGAAGAATAGCTAATAGCGGTTGGGGGAACGGCGAACGGAAAAACGCCGATGTCTGTAGGATTGGAAAGGAATTTTCCCGAGCAACGAGTCCGAATTAGCTCGTCGGAGCCTCGGACGTCGGAGCTGCAAAGACTCCGAAACGAAGGGGGAACGCTTTCGGACGAAGGGAGGGGGACGCAACGCTTCTGCTCTCAGGGAGGCACACTACACGATGATGGTCGGAATTTTATTTGAGAGAGCGGAGAGTCTGACAAGCGTAGGAAAATAGAGCTCCCGACTCGAACTATCTCTGCTCGGGGAAAGCCATAACAAACTGTCTGTGAGAGACAACAGAGAAATCCCTCGAGGAAGCGAAGGATAAAGACCAGAGCCGGCCGAGGGAGAAACAAAACCTAAAGGAAGGAACCTCTCAGAAAACCGACCGAGCCGTGCCGAACGTGGGCCCTTCGCCGCATGAGGTTTCACAGCATTTCCCCGTCAAGGACGGCTAAGGTGGCTTCTCATTGTAAGTCATCCAAGCCGAGCGGGGAGACTCAGTGATCGAACGAGCTGGGACGCGAAAATTGTCTGGTTCGATCATATCCTTGTGGTACCGACGCGCCGTCATCGCTTTGGCATTCTCTCCTTGCGAATGCGCAACATCGCCAAGCTCGAGTTCGCTCCGACCCCTGCTGGAGGAATGGCACAGTCCCTACCGTCAAGCAGATGACCTTTCCCAAGAGCTAGCTGCTCCGGGAGGTCGCTGTCTCTCTCTGTGCTGCTCGAAGGACTTGCGAGCACTTCTCACTCAGCAGCCTTCGGGGAAATTTTCTTGAAAGGATTGGATGTTCAATACCAATTTTCAGTGAAGGAGAGGGAGAAGGGAATAGAAGACATATTTCAATATCCACGCTTCCGAGATCAGACGACCTGCGCGGGGAATAGACGGAAAGAACGCGGGAGCGATGAGGCCTAATGCGTTTGGAGATTATTTTTTCGAGGGAAAATCGCACCGAAGCTTTGCTCCTTTCATGAGTGGAGTTTTCGAACGCCCGCGCGATCGATATACGGATAAAAAAGGCCTGAGAGCAGGTAGTCTGAAAATATCCGCGCGGATACCCGCCGGACAATACTTACGACAGAGCAGCACAGAAAGACGACCACGAATGCGACGGGCACTCCGGCCGTGCCGACGATCCAGACGAGCCGAATGAAGAAAATCACTCCGAAGATGTTCTGAATGCACGGGAAATACACTCCCGCAATCGTTCCGAGGTTGGCCTTCTGAAAATGCGCGAAAAGCAAAATGTTAGATTCCCGCCTGTGTCATCCCGAATGAATCATGGACTGAAAATACGGTCTTCCGCCCTCCCCAGCTCGACTATCTTCATGGGTTTCTGATCGGATTGTACGAAGCGGGAGTCTCGTCCTCCAGCCTGAGGAAACCCTCGGTCCGCGTCGGGAATAGAGCAAGGAAACCATTCTGTGTGGGAGTGCGCCTCGATCTCTCGTTATTTCTATTCTGATCTCTCATCAGGCCTAACAATTCGGTTGGCCCATATCCAGGCTCACAATAAGGCGACCCATCGGAATGCTTGTCGGGCACTGATCCCGCTGCAATCAGCCCCCAGGAAGCGCCAGGGCAACGGAGCGGAGTCTCGCATGGAGACTGGCCTCACAGAGAAGCTGGCAGGCGAGGAACTACCATACGTTCTAAAAGAACTAATTAAAAGCGGCTGCTCCCGACTGCGCTTCTCACGTCCTGAGCGTACGTGTGGAGTAGGATGCTCGCGCTGAAGGACGTGGCGAGCCAAGCTGCCGATCAGATGAGAGGGAAAAGGAGCAGCTAAATTGAAAACTTGTTCAAGGAATATGCCGATTGCTATCGAACGATCTTAGACCATCTTCGGCTGTAGTCCCGTCAGCTTTCCGTCGCCCGATCTACCAGGGCACCGGGAACCCCCGATTTCCTTCTTCGACATTCCGTGGCTTAAGTACATTCCGATCGTGTCGCCCGTCGCGGATAGAGCAACGCATAGATCCGCAAGTAAAACGGGGCCGCCCCTGCGATTCCTCCCCGTAACTAGGTGGACTGCTCCGGGAAGACCGGGGAGGTCCTCGTCAGAACCTTCGACGCCGCAACATTATACGGGTATCGACTTTTCGGGGACGCCAGATTATCGAATTCCCTGAGCAAGAATTTCCATTCAGGAGTCGTTAAGCGCAGGATACGTCGAGGGTGAATAAAAAGAGGAAGGAGAGGAATCAATGTTGGGCAGAGAGAGGAGGATCGCTGAGGGAAAGAGTAAATTTGAAGAATGTCTGAGGATGAAGGAGACGGGAAGTGAGAGGAGGACGTCGGCGAGAGCCTGCGGCTCGATTTTCAACATTTAATAGATCGCTTCAGTGTTGAAGAGAAACAAAGCATTTGAGCATCCGTGTCTCCCCGTGGTAGCTACCGCAGGAGACAGAGACACTCGATGAAGAACTTGACGACGCTTGAACGGAAGCGTTTCCGGATCCAAGGAGCCACGGACGAGGAGCAATAGCGCACATTTGGAGAGAAATAATTGAGATTGACAAAGAATCGGACTTGATGACGACAGACGCCCCCCAGCGCCGCTCATTTCGCTGCTCAGTATTTATGCAGCATCCGAGTCCACCGGGGCTCTTTGCGCTGTGCGGTTTTTCAAGACATAAGGTTTCGAGAATCGGGGACCACCGACGACTCTCCTCTTATGAATATTTTTAACTCATCGGTCCGTCTGGGCTTTTCTTTGATCTCATCGGTCTGGAAGTTTTTATGGAGGCGAGAAGCTGGAGGAAAGCCCGCTCCCCTCACCAGCTGGGTCTTTGACTGCAATTTTCTCCGGCAGGTGGATATCGACCTCCGCTACAGCAGCGGAAGAAGAATTTTTAAGCTGCTGGAGAGACTACAAGTCTTATTAGCAGGCCAGAGTCAACGAGATGAAATCGTACCTCGGGAAATTCACTCAGTCAGTCAGCGGAAGCACCTTGGCGACACCGGAAATTCACGCGGTTTCAATTCGCATCCCTAGACGCGTATCGTCGTCCCCCATCAGGCGGGAGCGGTCTTGACGGCATACAATAGTTCCCCATGGGATTCCATGGACAGTATCGGACGTGAACGCCCTTTATCGTGAGTTCCAGCGCTTCGGATTAGTCATCCAACTATCTGGTCGTGGCGTGACCGGGCCTCGTGTATCATAAGGAGGCTGCAAACACGGAAAACGGGAGCACGCATTCGCCACTCGATCATGTCGACAATCTCGCATGCCTACATAGGTACGTGGCTCACGCCCCGCAAAGAGCCACTCAAATTCACGCGCGTCAAACATCGTTTACGCGTTGTTTGCATTGAGGAGAAGTGTAGAGTGATAATTGCTAAGCGAGATTCATCAGGTGGAGCGTGAATACCTCTGAAAGAGTCAGACGTGACCGTCGCCAGCAACGCAACGTTTCCGAAAGAAGCGGCCCAACCGATGCGGCCGAAGCTTCAAACGGACCGAATTTCCGCGCTGTCATCCCCGCTCGACGCGTGTTTGGAATGATAACATTCGATGATGGACTGCGGCCTTGCCCAGCGCCCAACTTTAAATAGGTGCTGAGAAATGACGGAGCGGAAAGACAGCCGATCCTGCTGTTCCGAGCTCTCTCCGGTCCTGGCCTCAAGCTACAAAACTTCAGGGGCTGCAAGTCGGAGGAACGAGCGAGTCTCCAGCCCGAGAAAGGGCCGAGTAGACTCTGGACCACAAGCTGTAAGACAAAATGCGACCTTGCTTCGACTACCCTCGACCAAGCCTGTTCTACGATCGAAACTTGTCAGCGTCTGTGCCTCCGGGCCATGGGCTCGCTTTGGTTGAATCTCGCAAGACCAGATGCGTAGAAATCTCTGCGAATAGAGTCCTCACCTTGCCGCACCCCTCCGGCAGATTCGGAGTTTCGGAGCAGCGTATGCCGAAGGCCCGTGCCGCTGTTTCCGAAAACCTCGCCGTAGTATGTCGTTGAGGCTCCCGCGGGACGGAATAGAGCACATGATAGATACTACGTATATGTCAACGTCTGCTCGTCGGTTTCTTTTACCGTGCGATTCATCGCCGAGGCTTCTGCCGAAGAGTCCCCGGTATCTCTCAGTGCATCTGCCGGCGTTATCGTCACTCTTGCACAAGGAACGTAACATCTGCTGCTTAACAAGTTCCTGTCTGCGCCACGGCCGCCGTTCAATGATGCTTCTCTTGAACAGAGCGGTCTTTTTCCTGCACTTATTCTACTCAGTGGGCAAAAAGTGGCGTCCGATCCTCTGTACTCTCGGCGCGGCCCCGGTAGTCGAGAATCAGTTTCGGGTGCACAAAGGTGAACGCAGGTGTCCCCTGTGCTCACGAAGACTGTGATCGTTCAGAGTCGAGCACCGGTCTAACCGCGATATAGAGCGAATAAATTCAGTATATTCAATATCACTTCTTCTCGATTTTATTTACCTATATTTCAGGTTGGAAATTAGTCCTCCTGTAGTCGTGCAAGAAGATTCCCCGGATAATTCTGGCTTTGGGTTCTCAGCGGATCGGAAACGTCGATGGTTTCCCCTCGTCGACCCGGAAGTCAGTACAGGGTCTCGGGACCAGGGACTTCGGAGATACTAGGACAGCTGAAAAGCTGAGCAATCTGTCGAGAGCCATCTCGTGGTGCTCTAAGGAGCCAATTATTCATTCGATGTTCGCGAGGCAGGAGGAGAAGCTTTCTCTGGCCTGCTTCTCGCTCGACTCAGTTCCCAAGTGAAGTGAGACGAATCGAGAAGAGCTGATGCTCCCGCGAGCGCAGCTGCGAACGATGTTTCGTAACTCTTCCTGACTGCTTCCTGACACGCGACCCTCCGCCGACTGTCTCATAATCCGATAAGACCGTCCCGACGGTTATGATAAATTTTTATCCGTCATCGTACGAGGACGTGAGTTCGAAATACGCTGTCCGGATGACAAGCTTCTGCGTCAGGCCTCCAGAATAGCCCCCGAAATACAATGAACGAAATTGCTCGGAGACTGAAGTTGGAGAATTTTGCCTTCTCGGTGAGATCGCTCGGTACCAGAAGTCGACTGCTCGTGGAGATGAGATCTATGGCGACATCCCCTACCGATGCTTCAAAACATCACGTCCTCCGTAAATCCCGTTTCAGTTATGCTGCGTCATGAGATGACGTTCGAGCATATTCAGTAGTGAACACCGTGAGAGTCGCTTACAGGAAAGTTCGTGTGAGGCTCAAGGCGGAACATCACGCCGGAATATAACCCAGCATGATACAAACTCCTAGGGTTCATAGGCCACGCGATGAAAATTCAACCACCTACATCATCGCAACGAGCAACCGAGCTCTGTTTCGCTCGCGGGAGGAGCCTCAAGGAGCAAGAGATCGGCGCGCGTATCTGAACGAGCACCTTCATCCCACAGCTTTATTGTACGAGAACTATTGTGCCTCTGCTATCATAACAGTACCGTGATGCCTCATATGAGGCTAGTCGTCGTCGTCGCCTTTTAAAGCCGCGTTCAAACGGCTTAGGGGCTATTCCTCGACGTCAATCTTCTCTCGGTTCTCTCCGTTCTCGCCTCCTCTAGCCCTCAATTCATTCCCGAGTCTTTTGCCTTCATGCGCAGTCGCTACTCTGATCCCTGGGGCTTACCCCCCCCCTTTTGCCGCTTCCTCTGTTCCCCGGACCCAGCTGAGTCGAGGTCGACCGACGAGTTGTTTTCCTCTACGAAACGGTTCTGCTGATGACGACGACGGAAAAAAATAAGACCCCGCATCGCACTCGGATATAAATGAACGGTGGCCGCTCGTTCTCTTTCGTGGACTTTGTCGACGTCTCCGACTGGCGGCAGCAATCCGGGAAAGAGCCGCTAGCGAGAGAATCGTTCAAGAATTCTGAGGTTCGGCTCATGAGAAGCTCTCGAACGAGGGCCCGGGTATCTGAGCGAGCAACAACGGTTAATCACAGGGTGGTATCGGGGAGAGAAATCCGGTCATTGCGGGACTGCGGGGTCGAGCATTTAGGCTCACCGGACTATGTACGTACATCAGGACCGGAAAAGCCACCTGACATCAAGAGCCTGTGATGCTGAATCATCGTCGCCTTCCGCGCGCACGCGAGGTCTTTCGTCCGACGGCAAGCACGCGTCCGCTCGCGCGTGTGTAGACTCGGGGAACGACGGATAGGAGAGTCGAGCCCAACAGCTGACCAGCCGATATCTTCTCAATATAGAAGGGCCCGCCG